AGATCTCTTGCAACATTGAGTATATGTTGATGTTTGCGTTCCACAACGGCATTTTGTTGGGGTGTATACGCGTAAGACTTCTGGTGAATGATACCTTTCTATGTAAAGAACTCGGTCATGCTAAACTCAGGCCCGTTATCCGTCCGGAAAGTTTTAATCAAAGTTCCAAACTGTGTGAACACCATTGCGTGAAACTTCTTTATGAACTGTCTAGTTTCAGATTTGTTTCTCATCAGATGTAGCCAAGTGTATCTCGAATGGTCATCCACCAAGCTTAAAAAATATCGATCTCCCTGCAATGAACATATCTGGAAAGGCCCCCATATGTCTGCGTGGATCAAATCAAAACAATTCTTTGAAGACGTGGTGCTTAAAGGAAAGGGTGAGCGTTTATGTTTTGCAAGGTGGCAAACATCACAAGCCAAGGTTTTAGCAGCAGAGAATTTAATGTCACTCAAGAGGTGCATTTTATTTATAGGAAAGTGTCCTAATCTTTGGTGCCACACCTCACTATTATTACAATGAACTGCGAAGCTATGCATGACATCCTGCCTCCTTGGTGGTTCAAGTAACAAATATAAACCATTACGTTGTTTAGCTATACCAGTCCTCGTCCCAAGCATATCCTGAATGAGACACTGATTAGACAAAAATATTAGCTTATTGCAGGTATCTTGAAGAAGTTTACTCACAGAGATGATATTGAATTTGAAGGATGGAATGTGTAGAGCATCCTTCAAACACAATTCCTTGTTGAGACTGACATTTCCAACATGATTGACTACCACAGAATTTCCAGTAGGCAAATTGACTTCCGCTCCACGTACCACACGGTAATTATCAAAGTAATCAAGCGAACAAACGATGTGGTCGGTAGCACCGGAGTCTAAAATCCATGTAGATTCACACAAGAAAGTAGAATTAATATAAGTAGCAGAATACTTGCCTTCAGTTTCAGAGTTTTCGCTGTTGAAACTCGGAACTAATGAGACAGCAGCTGTGGCATTTGTGCCTGAGGATTGTCCAGCTTGTGCTTGAAGGAGGGAAATTAGCTTCTGCAGCTGATCCACGGTAGAAGCATTTCCAGAGTTTCCAGAATTTTCTACTGCATTATTCGACATGACTGCTCCTTGTTTCCCCTTTGATTTGAATCCCGAAATCCATCCCGGAGGAAAACCGTGCTTCTTATAGCACTTGTCTATTGTGTGTCCATTCATTCCACAATAGGTGCACTTGGCTCCCTTATTCGAGTTTCCACTACGTTTGCCATTATAGGAATGAAACGCTGCTACGACTTCATCTGGAATGTTTTGGCTGTGTTGAACAGCGTTCGCCTAGCCAATCTCAACACTACTTATGCTCAAGTTTGCCAGATTAATCTGCCGTTCCAGTTTTTCTGCCATAACGAAGATTTTGTATACCTCCGGTAAGGGATCGAGAACAAGCACATTGGACTTCAGATTACTATAATCATCGTTCAAGCCATGTAGGAATCGTATCACTTGATCTGTGTCTCTCTCTTTCCTGATTTGATCAATGAGATCACATGAGCATTTTGGATCGCACCTGCACACAGGAAAAGGTCTCGTGGAGTTCATCTCCTCCCATAAGGTGCGGCATCTAGTGTAGTAATCGTTTACAGACATCGTGCCTTGTTTCAGACCATAGATCTCACTCTGTAACGATGAGATCTTCTGTGCGTCATGATGAGAGAATCTTCGCTTCAAGTCCTCCCACACGTCTGTTGCCTGATCTAAATGTATAATGCTCTGAGCTATTGAGGAGTTGACAGACTTGAAGATCCAAGAGCAAACTAGCAGATTGCATCTTCTCCAAGCTGCGTATTGAGGATGACTTCTGGCCGGAGCTATCATTGTGTCGTCGACTATAGACCATTTGTTTTTCACTTCCAATGCTATTCGCATTGAAATACACCAAGACCTCTTCATTTTCAAGCTTGTCTCCCTGTTGAGTTCTGGGGTCATTGTGTGAGGCACGCCACTTATATCATCAATAGACTACCCTCACCGGTCATTGAAATGCTAAGCCCATTCAAGAAATTATATGGGACGAAACCCGACTACATGAACCTTAAAGTATTTGGGTGTTTATGCTATGCAGCCAATTTGTCGCACTCAAGGCATAAAATGGCCGAAAGAAGCAGAAAATGCGTATTCGTTGGGATACCAGCTCACGTCAAGGGCTATCTTCTATATGATCTGCTTGATCAATCTGTCATCGTATCTAGAGATGTGAGCTTCTACGAACAACAATTTCCCTTCTCTGCGAAAGAATTATCTGAAGAGGTGCCTAAGCTACAGACTACTGAACCCTCTCTTCCCATTATCCCTCTAACTGACATGCACTGTGAACTTCCTACGCATGAACCTGAACACGCTCCCACCAGTGAAGTCTTGTTACAAAGGGATATAGAGAGTCCACCAACTTCCAAAAGCGTTCCAGGATATTATTGATAACACCACACAATACAACCCTCTTAATAAGCCAAGACGCTCAGGCAGAAACCGTCATGCTCTGATACCATGACGAAGAGAGACACGTACATAGAGATGAACGGAGAACTGAGAAGTTTATTTCATAGAAGAGAAAAAGCTTGTTTGTAACAAAGAGCCAACATGGCTAATATAGGAGAATGAACAGTTACAATAATCCAAGAGGTGTCTAGACATTTAAGAGGACTTTACTGCCCGACTTTACTGCCCTTTGCTACTTCATCTTCATTTTCTGTTTTGGCTTCGCTGCTTCATCTTCATTTTCTGTTTTGGTTTCATCCTCCAATACGGTGAGCCATCCGATTCTGTTCAGGTTCTACCATCCCAGTGCCCTACGCGGTTGTTGTTTGCTGGATTATGACGATTATGCTGGAAAAGAATAGAGAAAAAGAACCACAGGTAAGAAGTTGAATTATTCATTATACTAGTATTTTTACCCGTTCGATGCACAGAATGGATTTGTTGTAATATATTAAGAATATTTAGATCGATATATAATAATTATTTAAATTAGAACATCAAATATTATAGTACAATTGAAGATGTGATTTGAATCATTTATGTGTTATGATGTTATCATTGCTTGAATTTGAGCTAATAATTGCTCAAATTAATAGCTAATGTGTAGATGTACGCATGCGGTGCTGTAACTTTAGAGATTTTATTTATCATTGTTTAGTATTTTTTATAAATTAGGCAAATGTGTTCGTTCTCTAGCAACTCAGTTATAGGAATGAATTGCTATCTTAATTCATTTGTGTGTGTGTGTGTGTGTGTGTGTGTGTGTATATATATATATATATATATATATATATATATATATATATATATATATATATATATATATATAGAGAGAGAGAGAGAGAGAGAGAGAGAGAGAGAGAGAGATGTGTATTCAAATGAGGACGAGTATATTATAGAGGACTGTGAGGACAGATGTAGTGTGTGCCATTAGCTGCTATGTCGTGTGCATGGCCGAATGTAGTCGTGTGCCACAGTTTGTATGTCGCGTGCTAGATTTGTTAATTTATAGACCATGGGTTCGAAACCTGATGTTTGCATTTATTCTTGTGTGCCATTATTTATTAAGTTGTGTGCCTGATATTAATTTGTTGTGTGCCCATTATTTGTCCTCACAGTCCTATATGTATTGTTGTCCTCATTTGAACTCAACCCTATATATATATATATATATATATATATATATATATATATATATATATATATATAGCAATTTTGTCATTTAAAAAAATACATAATATCAATGATTGTATTTACACATTATTGAAACCTCTTTGTAGATGACATTGGTAGTGCCAACACAATCTTGTCCATCCTCGTCTAGAGCTAACACCTTCAGTCCATCGGGACGGGTTACTCGGGTGCAAATATATAATGGTAGAATATCACTCAATTAGTGATCATTTTATATTTTCAGTCAATTAGCAATATTGGATTCATTTTCAGCCAATTATTCTTTTTTTTTTTTTTCAGTCAATTAGAATATCAAATGCAGTGATATTTTTACCTAATTTTCGTTCCATTTTTAATTGATAATGTAGATATTATTATTGAAATATTTCCGTTCCATTTATAATTTACATTTACTATTATTTAAAATGTGCATTTACTATTGATGATGTAGAATATTATTATTGAAATATTTTCGATCAATTTTTAATTTCCGTTCCATTTTTAATTATAATGCAATGATCTGACCAATTTTTTTTTTAATTTTAGTCAATTATGGATCATTAATATCTATTTTCTTTTATATTTTCAGTAAATTAGTAATATTAGATTCATTTTAAGCCAATTATTCTTTTTTATTTTCAGTCAATTAGAATATAGATGCAGTGATATTTTTACCTAATTTCCGTTCTATTTTTATTTGATGATGTAGAATATTATTGTTCAAATATTTTCGTTTCATTTTTAATTTTCTTTCCATTTTTAATTTACCTTTACTATTTTTTAAAATATGTTTTTACTATTGATGAGGTAGAATATTATTATTGAAATATTTCCTTTCCATTTTTAATTTTCCTTTACTTGACGATGTAGAATATTATTATTAGAATATTTCCGTTCCATTGTTTGAAATTGTGAAAGATTTGTGATATAATTGTGATATGATTTATTCTACTGTGTAATATTATTGTGAAAAATTAAAATGCAATAATTTGACCATTTTCTTTTCCATTCTAGTCAATTATGGATCATTTTTTATTTTCATTTAATTATTAATATTCATTTCCTTTTCCAATTAACCTAATTTCCATTCCTTTTTCCAATTTTAATTTTCATTCAATTATTAATATTCATTTCATTTTCCAATTTACATAATTCTCGTTCCATTTTTAATTGATGATGTAAAATATTAATGTGACATATTTATATTCCGTTTTTAGTTTACGTTCGTTTTTTAATTTACTTTTACTATTTACTATTGTTTGGGTGGTTTCCCTCCTACAAAGAACGGCACCGTTTTGAATGCCATAATTTTTTGATGTCATTTACATTGCCAAATTATCTGGTGTAAATAAATATTAATATTATTTACTTTTGAAAACTTTTAGTTATTCAATGTCCACTTTCTAGATAATTGCATATAAAATGTACAGAAAGCAGGTAATTTATTCGCTATGTTGGAAACGAAGCAAACGAAGCAGGTAATTTATTCGCTATGTTGGAAATGGAGCAAACGAAGCAGGTAATACACGCCTAGAAGCATTTACATTGTAAGTATAAAAAAAAAAATTAGATTATCTATTTTATACAAATAAGATTAATCTATTTTTTATACTTACAGTTTTATTGAAAAAGAACTTAAATATTTATGATGAACAACAATTTAATTGTTAATTTTAATACAGTTTTCAGTTGAAAAAAATTTAAAAATTACTAAATTAAAAATAAAAAGAACTTAAACAGTTAATAAATTACAAATTACAAATTACAAATTACAAAGAGTTAAAAAATTTAAATCAGGTACTTTTTTAACTTTTTTTTTTTTGAAAGATTGTGATGTGCAATAATATCATAGAGATGAATAATTTAAACAAATAATTTAAGCAAATGATATCGTAGAAAAATATGTTGTATTTCTTATTATCGTTGATAACAATATTTACCCGAAGAATTTTAGTTCACCTAGCATTTTCCTACTGATTCTGATTATGTTAAATGAGATTGTTGTTTTAAAATATCAGAAAAATCCTAATTGTGACAGAACTTCGTCTGTCAAAAAAAAAATAATAAACACAGATTCTGCAATTTGTTTATATAAATTACTGATTCAATACAAAAAAAATAAGAATAGAGAAATAAACTTATCTTTTACATACTAGTATAGATATAGATTTGTATTATTTTTGGGGTAAGATTTGTATTATTTTACATATCTATTTTTGGTTAAAATATTTTCATATCATATTTATACTATGACCTATTATGGAATAACAAAATTCATAAGACTACTAACTTAGAGTCAAATCTATATTCCAAAACCAGTTTGGTTGGTGTGAGTGATAGTGTACTCCTATCCCTTAAGAAGGTTGGAAGTTTGAACCCCCTCTTGTATGGAAAAACTAATCTGGCCGTGATTTTTGTCACGAAGTCATGGGTATAAATACACATTCCACCTCCTTAATGGATGATGGAGATCTATCTAATCCTATTGCTAAGATTTATTCTCTATAATCGTCAAGAATCTCTACACAACCCCAAGAGGATTCCCTAATATTCTATATATCTCTACTACCCCTAGTGTTATGTATATGCTTCTAGTTTGGGAAGAATGTATATGGTTCTAGAATATTCTATCAAGTATGAGTTGCTATGTACAAGTCCAGAAAAATGTAGCAAGCTTCGAAAATATATAGCAAAGTGACCCGCGTTACACTTTGCGGATCATTATGTCATGGTGAACACAGTCCCAACGGTAACAGTGCACCGTTATCTTTTCTTTTTTCCTTTTTTTTCTTTTTTTTTTCCCTTAATTAACCGCACGACTTTTCTTCTTCATTTTCACATTTTGCGGTTTCACTTCCTCTTCGCGCAAGCTTCTTCAACATAATCTCATAAAAAGAAAATTCATAATTTCATAACTGCACATTCATAATTGCATGGATTTATGAATGTGCAGTTATGAAATTATGAATTTTCTTTTATGAGATTATGAATTTTCTATTATGAGATTATGAATTTTCTGTTATGAGATTATGAATTTATAGTACATTTATAATCTCATAACAGAAAATTCATAATCTGACCAAACGCGCGCCGTTAACCCTACATTAGCAAATTATTTTTTTTTTCGTAAAAACGGCACCGTTTGGATTCGTGTTCACCATTCATGGTGAACACGTTTCCAGGGCATAATTTGCCACACTTTGCTCCTTAATTGGGTCAGTCCAGTGCGAATGATGATTAGTTGAGTATGGTACCACAGGTTTTACATAATCGATCAG